GGTTTAATTCTAGGCAGGCTGTGCCAGTCCCCCGCCCTCCCCAGGGTGTGCTAAGATTGAGATTGAGACTGGACATGGTGGCACACGTCTGTAATCCCAGCACTTGGGAGGCTGAAAATGGGAGGTTCACTACGAGTCTAATCTATGTAGTAAGACCCTGTAGAGTAGACCCTGTACTAAATACAAAGAACAAAACAAAACAAACACACAAACAAAAACCATGAAGTAAAAGTGAAAATCTGCACACTCGAAGTGAGTCCAGGGAGGGCAGAGACTTCACATCTGTATTTGCACATTTCTGCTGTCTCCCTGTCACTCACAGTGGTGTCTCCCAACCAATGGCACTTAGCAAACACAAAGCAAAGGCTTAGGAAATGACTTTTAAATGTCTCAGAAAGTAGAACATAAAAAGGTAATCAAAGATCAAGTATAGACATCAATCCAGGAGATTCAACAGCTAGCCAAGATGACTACTTAGAAAGAAAGAATAAACAGGGTTGGGTGCAAGTCATTATAGAGAAAAAAGTCAAGAAACTTCACAGAACTAGTTTTCACATTGAAGGAACACTAAACGTCTACCAAAAAACACAAGTTCAAAATACCAAGAATAAAAGACAAGATTCCAGACTGTCCACATTGTTTTAGGTAGATGGATTATAAACAAAGAGAAACAAGAACAGTACTGGACTCATTACAACAGCAAATTTGAAGCTAATATGTAATGGAATATTCCCTTCTCATTCTGTGGGAAACTACTTTTTCTTAGAAGTCTTAGTCCAAAAAAAAATCAGGTATAAAGAAAAAGATATGATAAAGTTTTGTTTTTTTTCCAGAAATATAACCTCATCAAAGTTCACCTCCCAAATGTTTTATTTACCTTCTTAACCCCCTGAGTAGCAAATGGGAGAATTCATCCTACAAAACAGAAAATATAAGTTTTGTCAGATATGAGTATTCCATTGTCATTTAAATATTGTAGGTATGTGAATTCAGCAAAAAACTAAACAAAAAAGGGGATACAAATAAAGGACTATTTTGTATCTGTATATTAAAAATAGGATAGATATACAGCTACTTTCTCTTAATTCACTGAATAGAAAGATTTGTACTAATAGTGTTTGTGGACAGGATATCATGTCTGCATCTTGTACTATGAATAGCCACTAAGAAGACAACAATATGCAATATATTAATTATTGAAACTGTACTAATCAGTTGTAAAACTGTATTACTGCTATTTGTTTCTCAATAAAATTGTTAAAAAAAATAAAAAGAGCAGAAAAATTTAATCATTA